CTCTAGATATTTACGAAAAACGTTTCTCATAGCGTTACGCGTGAAACGCACCCTTAAGCTCCGGTCACCAGGTCACTTTAATGACCCAACCTCAAGTCACTTTTTTGCAACTTTGTCACCGTGCCAGAGCTACAGTAAATGTCGGAGGCCTTTGAAAGTCGCAGGATATTATTAGGTCATTAGTAGCTACAATTTGTATATCTCGGAATTTTGATATCGGTGACCTAAGGTCAGGTCAATTTCGCGACCTCCCCATTATAAGTCAATGGGGGAAAAATCAACTCCCTGTTTTTACCACTAAAACGGGTCGGAATGGCCCCATATACCATACATGACTTCATGCACGATCAACCTTCACTACCTTGAGGTCTGTTTTGCTGTTGGGCAGCTGTGAGGTCATGTGACGTCATCAAAGGTCACCAAAGGTTTTTGGCCAATAACTCCGTACAGGAACAAGATACAGACGCGTGGATGGTCTCATTGTGTTCAGCTCGTCAAGACGCATCGAATGATATACATGATGACCTCGAGGTCACGTGACCTGAGGTCAACCTTTGACCTTGACCTTTCGAGGTCAACATATATATATATATATATATATATATATATATGAGTGAAGTTGGGAAGCAGTTTTTCACGAATACATGTTTCAATGAAAATGACAGCGTAACGGGCGTTGTTTTGCTTCTTGCCAAGATTCTCTAGGCTTCTCACAGTTTTTCGATCATCTAAGGAAAATTCATGTAAAATAGTGCCTATATTGCCAGGTAACGTTTCGTCAACATATCCGTTAACATCTTCAGACATGCATATAAGGCACAAAAACAGTCTCTTTTACAAAGGCGGCATGTCATCAGCCTACAAAAAAGACGAAAAAGTGCTACGTGACATTGTACACAAAAACTGTACTCCCATTAGGCCCTACAACAAACTCAACCTCACCATCTACTACCAGTTACGTAGCACGTCACAAATGATTATGACTAATGATCTCGCGCGTGACAACAGTGACTTAAAGGCCACAAATGTAGTGTACGAATACCATTGCCCTGTTGGCGACTGCGTGCGCCAGAAGAATTCGTCATACATAGGCTACACCACCACCACGCTGTCACGCCGAATCACAATGCACTTGCAGAACGGCGCTCCTGAAAAACACACAAGAACAAACCACGGCACCACACTCACACGTAGCATGATGGTCACAAACACCCACATCATAGCTAGATGTAACACCAAAAAGAAACTCACAGTCTTGGAAGCAGTCTTCATCAGAGATAGAGACCCTCTCATAAACAGACAGATGGATATGAAAGGGTCACTCTCGCTCTATGATGGACGGCCCCTAGCACCAAGGTTTTAGGAAGGCTTAGGATCAGATACGAATGCAAATGAGAATGATTGTCATCTCGATTGAATGGTTATTTGTGTTAAAGATGTTGATGGACGATTGTGTTAAAGATATTTATGAACGATTGTATGTACGTTAATGACATCACGGACTGGTAGAATTTGTTCTCGATACCGCAGTGTGGAAGTGTAAGTGTAACCGGAGGTGCTACTGCTACAATTGCTTGCTCTCGTTGCTGTTTAATTTAGTTCTAGGTCACTGAAGAAATGCAAACCTGTTATCTAGCGACGCACGATCCGAACCATAGATGTACTTTTTTCTGTTTTTGTGCCTTATATGCATGTCTGAAGATGTTAACGGATATGTTGACGAAACGTTACCTGGCAATATAGGCACTATTTTACATGAATTTTCCTTAGATGATCGAAAAACTGTGAGAAGCCTAGAGAATCTTGGCAAGAAGCAAAACAACGCCCGTTACGCTGTCATTTTCATTGAAACATATATATATATATATATATATATATATATATATATATATATATATATATATATATATATATATATATATATATATATATATATATATATATATATATATATATATATATATATATATATATATATATATATATGCAAGTTTTGTTAAACACAACAGCATAATGGGCACTTATCTTCTTCTTATTAAGACTTTCGAGGCGGCGAATGCACTGTCGAGGTTCGGGTTCGTGAGAATGTAAAATATTACCAAAAGATGTCATAAATACAAAATATCATAGCTATATTGTTGCCAGTTTAAATGTACAGCCGGGGACTGCGCGACCCGCGAAGTATACTACATTGGTCACACCACAACGTCTCTGAGCAGACGTCTCACAATGCACCTGCAGGACGGAGCCCCCAAGAAACACTACACAGAACATCACAACACCGCACTCACACGTGACGATCTCGTGACCAACACATCCATCCTAGCACACTGTCAGGATCGTAGACGGCTCGTCACACTTGAAACAGTGTACATTCGCGACAAAAAGCCAATCATCAACATTCAGACAAAGCAGAACACATCTCTATCACTGTACGACAAAGTACTCGCGGCGGGTTGACTGATTTATCTGTCATATGCGCGTACGTATCTCGCTATGGTGTTTTTGATGTGACCTTCCTTCGCGGAGGATGAACGAATGTGTTTAGGGTTATAGCTCATGTACGAAAACAAAAGTGTGTTATTTTGTTTTGAATGCTGTGACTCATCGACTGAATAGTTTTAGTATCATATCCGTAATATCTGTTCCAAAAATGTAATTGAACCCATTTATCTCAAAGTATGACTTCTAAAACTGTGTGACTGTAATTTTCTTGAAAATGATCTCTGATAGATCGAAACGTCGAACAACAATATAGCTATGATATTTTGTATTTATGACATCTTTTGGTAATATTTTACATTCTCACGAACCCGAACCTCGACAGTGCATTCGCCGCCTCGAAAGTCTTAATAAGAAGAAGATAAGTGCCCATTATGCTGTTGTGTTTAACAAAACTTGCATAAAAGAGAACCTGCTTCCGAACTATTCGAATATATATATATATATATATATATATATATATATATATATATATATATATATATATATATATATATATATATATATATATATATATATATATATATATATATATATATATATATATATATATATATATATATATATATATATATATATATATATATATATATATATATATATATATATATATATATATATATCATTCGATGCGGATTGACGAGAGGATCACGATGATGCCCTTAGTTTGTTCCTATCTTGACTAATTCGAAAGTTATTCGAGAAAAACTCTCCATATCTAGCGCCGCCATTTTGACTTTTTCGACCCCTGTGACGTCATCTTTGACCTGACCTGAAAATGACCTTAGTAAAAATTGTAGATCTTGGCCGTGCGCATCCGATGCCGTTTACCGCTTGTCGCTATCTTGCTTCGTTCTCGAGATCTCAGGGGGGGGGGCGGTCATCCGCCCCCCCCCCGTCGCGTCGGTGCGAAGTTGGCGCAGACCCCCGTCGGTGCGCGGGTTAGGATCAAAACTAATGCCCATTTTGGTTATAATAGGACCCAATGAATAAGAAAAACTCGGTCGCTTTCCAGGAACAGAAAATGTTTCATTTTTTGTTGCATAGTGTAATTTGGCATATGCGTTTTTCGGTAAACATGTCCGGTGATGAAAACTAACTGAAAATCAGCAATAGTTGTTTTAGAGTGTCTGTTTCGTGGACATATAAATACGTTCAACCGGCTCCTTTGAATGCTGCAATGGCTCACTGATAAACGATAGACTATCACTACGTTTCCATGGTATGTACAAGTTGAGCCGATTTGATAAAATGGATCTGCCCCATCCATCTACATCATTTAATAGACATCATTTAAAATTGAATATATAGGTTTCAGTGTTCGCTAAAATTATATGTATGCTCATTTTTGCATAAGTTGAATAGTAGGGTAGCCTGGGGCAAGACGCCCCAGATAATTTATTTTGCTACATAACTTTTGTCCCACATAACCTGGAAGGCCAAATTTGTGCTCAATGCGTTCTTTGGACATTTTACTTTAAATTCCACCCCTCAAATTCATTCACTTATGATCGGACTCCCAGCTAGGAAGTGGTTTGTGAAGCAACTGCGAATAGGGCGTTTTGCCCCAACCCCAGGGCAAAACGCCCCACGGCCTGGGGCAAGAAGCCCCATACTCTAGATTAAAGATTAAACATGCTAGTTGACTAAATCTTATATGAAAGGTCCGTTAGACCTTGGGAGGCATGGCACTGACGTTAGCACCTTCCATCCTATCAGGTGTTCAGCTACGACACTATTGTATGAGCAGGTTTTTCACCTGCCTCATAAGGCCAAATAATAAATTATTGCAATGCAAATGTTAACAAAATACTTCCTTTGCCATCCAGTTGCTGAGAAAAGTACATATAAATGCATAGAAACATACCGTTTGCCAGCTACCGAACATTGGGAAGTGGGTAGTCCGAACAACACATGAGGTAAAACGCCCCATGGGGCTTTTTGCCCCGCGACCTACTGGGGCGTTTTACCCCATCACGTAGTTCGGTCAGAGAACAACGCCTTGTACTCCAGGAAGACATAATTTAACACGAACCAACCCGGCATTATAAGCGTTAGACAATAGTTGTTCAAAATACATAAAAGTCGTTAACCTGATGTGGACGATAAAAGAACGCCATGATGCATAATCTGACAACAAAACATAAAAATCACTCCAAAAACACATTTTTGGCTATATCTCCCTAAAGAGTCATCACAATTTACTTGCAGTCTGTTCATATAATGATCGTATAGTGCACGTTTTATAGAAGAGAGGATGTTTCCCCAGAACCTTGCCAGTTCCGAGAAACATCGGTGAGGCGTTTTACCTCGGCGGGGCGACTTGCCCCGGTCTACTCTATGCGAGAAAAACGCACATGAAACATCGTTAAATCGATTTAGACGTGTCATAGAAACGTAGCTTATGTGACCAGAAATCAACTATCTATTCTGTGGACTTGAATGCCATATCTGGGAGGGGCTGAGAGGACGGGGCTGATTCGTGGAGGGACGCGCGGCAGACAGCCGCCACCAGGAAGGAGCTGGGCGGTCAGACCCGGTGCACAGGGACCCGGCGGTGCGGTTGTGCACCGTCCGGCCGGCTGCACGCGGTGGCTCACACCACTATCAGCTGGGGAGGCGTACCGGTGGTGGGCAGAGGTCTGTCCCAGAGGGTCAGACAGTCCACGGGCAGCAGCAGAGCGGCTCAGCCGCTCCGAACTGATTGAGCCAACCGACACTCAACAGGTAGGAGAACCAGCGAGGGGCGTGAGACCATGGAAATATAATATGTTTCTAAGTAAAATGGTTAAGTTGACTTGTTAATTTGTTAATTTGATAAGAAATTTAAGCAGTTAATTTGACTTCTCCTGGCTCGATATATACTTAAATACTAACAGCGATCTTATTACGGAGCGAGCGAAGCGAGCGTAGTCTTTCCTTAGATTAACGGAAATTTCTGAGTATGAGCGGCCGGCCGGCCGGCCGGCCGTGGTCACGCTTTTGCGACGCTTATATCTCAGCAACCACTTGACCGATTTACACGCGGTAATTTTTGTAGGGTAGCTTCATTCCTTCTACCAAGTATTGGACTATTCCCGATGCATGCGGGTGACCCCTTATGCACGTGCCACGTGCAAAACGAAGAGGTGTCACTTTTGTAATTGTTGCAATATCTCGGTAACTACTTGGCCGATTGCGCTGAAAGTTGGCATGCAGGTAGGCACCCACTAGACAATGCATATCCATGTGCCAGAGTTGGGGTGCTGCTGCACGTGCGCACGTGCAGGGGTCGATTCCAGATCTCGAGAACGGCTGGACCGATGGCGCTCAAATTTGGTACATGGTTAGGGACCGGTTAGTAGGGTGCCGTGCACAAGTCAGTTGGGACCCATTTTGCACGTGCGCACGTGCAGGGTGCCGCTTCCAGATCTCAAGAACGGCTGGGCCGATTGTGCTCAAATTTGGCATATCGCTAGAGACCGGTTAGTAGAGTGCCGTGCACAAGTCAGCTAGAGGTACCCCCTCGAAATTTCGCACGTGCAAGGCTCACCCTCTCGCTCGCTCCGTTAGTCGCCCCAAAAGGCGTTATACTGGTTATTACTTGAAGGAAGCGAATGCTAGTCTATCTATAATTGTACAAATAAAAATATGGCCCCTTTCTGGAAGTGCGATTCGTGAATACCAGCCTATGTGATCAACCATTACGTATTTTGTTTTGAGTTAGGTATGAGGGGCGACGGACGTTTCGAGATTCAGTATCATTTGCCTTTGCCATACCTATACCATATCCCGAGTAAATCTCTATACACCCTACATGAATCCTGCTATGCCTAAGTAAGGATAATTACGTCAGACTTGGGTATCTGCGCAGTGCGCACCGGCCGCTAAAACAATAACTTACATGCAGAGCACGATCACACGGCTGCTAATGAACGTTCATTTCAGGCTCGTCAATATGTCGATCCGTGCGCAGTTAATGCTGGCGCCAGTGATGGTTCTGACGACCGTCCTCATCGCCCAGGGTAAGTGATTATTTACGTTTCTTATAATAATTACGATTAATTACATAATGATACGAGTGAACGGTCGAAGGGCAGGTGACAGAAGTGGTTAGCACGGTTGGAACGTTTTAATTGTCGGCTATAAACTAAGAGAAATGTATTTTCATCATAGGTGCAGAAGGTGCGAGCTGCTGCAGTGGCGGCGGAACACCTTCAACTAAGCGGGGGGAGGGGGGAGGGCACTGCCGACTTTTGGTCCCATTCTTTCCATGCAACGCTCATAGGGCTAATGTTAAAATGGCAAAATCAAGGGGGGAACGGCGCCCCGGTGCACCCCCCCCCCCGCTCCGCCGCCTATGAGCTACTGCCAATGCAAGATTCTGTGTATATGTCTAGACATCGATAGATACCGATGCATGTCTGGTCTATGTCCTCTATATCTTCGACGTAATCGTATCTGTATGGAATGTAGCGATGAAAGTTGAAACCGTAATTGCGAACCGCTAATCAGCGCAAAGTGCGAAACGAAATGCAACGTTAGGTAAGCAGCAGCTTTCAATATTGTTCTCGGTTTCACTAATCACTTACTATTTTTGGTAATCTAAAAAGAGAAAAGGGATCCTGAAAAAAGTGAGCCAAATCTGAGCTAAAAATTTGGGAATTGGTACGCTGAAGCTCCTGGTTGGGAATGGCCTAGGTCTTAGATCTTCTGTAGACCCTTCCGTTTCCTCCATACCTCAATTCTATGTATTTATGGGTCTGAAAGAAGGTATCGCACAACCATCACATCAAAACACCATGGCAACAGTGTGTCATTTACACTACTTCATTAAAGGGACTATCCCAGTATCCCACCTTCTAAAATGTTGTTAAAACCAGTTAAATTGTGCCCGACTTTATAGATTGGATGACCAGGAACACGGTTCTGGCATTTATTTTTCATTAAACATCTTAGGCTTCCCATATTCCAAACACAAACTTTCAAATATGTGACGTCACAGCCCAAAATTACCTCCTTCCCCAGGCCACATTACTGTCATAAAGCTGATTCTTTTTACTCTGTAGGCACCACAGCAAAGTTCAGACCAAGTTTTAAGCGATTTTTCAACGAACAAACCCATTTAAATCAGAATGACTAAACGAGGTGACGTCACACTAACGGTCGCTCCATGTTGAAGATAAGGCCTTGCGCAAGGCCCATTTTCAAATGAAGGGAACGAATTTCTTCAACACCAAGAGGCCGCGGGGGTTGCAACCTAGATAGATAGTGGTTTCTGAACCTCGCCGCAAACTTGGCTATCTCAACTCAAACCCCATGTTAAAGGTGGGATAGTCCCTTTAATATCTGGGCCAATTGCTCTAAAACTTGGCTTATGTCGTCGGACATTCAACGGACTATGTATTTTCATGGTTGGGAATTGGGATGCTCAACCCGGCACCGCCTGGGCTATTTCCGTACTCATGACAGCCTGGGGGGGGGGGGGTGAGTCGGATCCGACCCCCCCCCCCTGTTATCTCGAGAACCAATGGTCGTATCGAGCCCCGCGAGGCGGCATTCGAAAGGTCTCTACGAGACCTTCCCTAACCAATCTGTGATCAAAACTAACACGATATTCGTGATCAGCACCCCGGAAAATCCCTTAGCAGTCACACTTTACGACTTTCTAACAGGTCCCGATATTCCCGATTTCGGTTCATTGACCTGACCTGGAAGGTCAACCGATGACCTAGGGCCTTAAAATTGGGTATCATAAGCTTCCTCTCGTGACGGGCAACACGCTCGTTTTTTTCCGCGAAGCTCTAGCTCCATCAGGTGCCAAACGCGAGGGGGGGGGGGGGGTCGTACCAACTCTTGTGCCGTCGAATGACTCGAAATGGCCTGTACCGACGAGGGTTAAGATTTTAAGATTGAGGTCAACTTACGGGTCAAGGCCAGGTCAAAGGTCAAATTCTGGGGTTTTGCATGATGAGGCTTACGGAGAGCGGAATCGATAGCTCCTGCTCAAAACTCACCAAAAATGACCTCAAAGGACTAGTGAAGATACCATGTGCGTATAAGGGTCATACTAAGCACGGGTCAAGGTCAGGTCAGGTCACGAAAGGTCACGGTTTTCACTTTCTGCTACATGGGCATGCGACCCATGTTTTATGGCTTATTTTTCACGCCAAATCCGATGGTCATGGTTAATGGTTATATGTAACCCAAACTCACTGTCCTGGTCATCATCAAGCACAAAAGATCGTTTGTATTATACATCACCAAGAAAAAAATCATTTTTTCAATTTTTTATCTTCGACATAAAAATGCACTTTTCTAGACGAACTTTTGTCCCAGGAATCTAATGCTGCCATTTGTTTTCACATGCGATGTTCATAAGTGCCTCAAACTCACGAAAATGTGTATGACGTCACCATGCCCTGTACATGTTGGAGCTACTTTTACAATTTGGGGGTCAAAAATCAAGATAGAAAGTTGAAATTTGGGACAACTAATGTTCTAATAGAGCTCTATAACATATATTCCTTTTTTGTGAAGATGTTGATTTTTTTATTTTATTAGCTGTTTTAAAAAACATAGTTTTTTTAACCCTCGCCCGCACATGCCATTTTCCCATCCTAGAACGCACATAGGGGGGGGGGGTGGTTGCCACCCCCCCCCCGCGCCATTTCGTTCCTGTTGGAGATAGAGCTTAGCAGTAAAGACCAAAAAGATTCTTTGGGAAGAGACGAATCCAATGATACCCAGTTTTACCTTCTCAGGTCAGTCATTGACCTTCCAGGTCAGGTCAAACTAAAAAATGTTGCTGTTTTGGGTCACCGTTGGATATCAAGTGCGCTGCTTATCAAATGCCGATGACGATGCTGTTTTCTGGTGCTAAGCCAGCTAGAACCTCTTTGTCACACTATCCGACCAGAATTTTGCTGCTGAGGTCATTTCAGGTCAAGTTAGGTCAAGGTCAATTATATGTGTTTGTATGTCTGTGTGTGTCTGTGTGTATACTGATGTGTGCACCGATTGTTTTTGGGTCCATATCACATGAAATCATGATCTGAGAAGCTTTTACCAAAAATGCAGTCAAAAAACTTCACAAAAAGTAAATTCAGCTTGCCTAAAACGCAATTATCTTAGATGACCTAGGTTGACCTTGACCCTGACCTTGACCCCTGTACATCGTCGAACAACATGTTGCATGATAGGTGGGAGGTAAGACTGGCAAAAAAGGCCGAAATCAGGGTGTCAAAAGCTCACAAGGCCCATGGCAAACGCAAGATGCTGAGAATTGGCCATTTGGGTCATGACATGACCTGAAAAACAAGGTCATATCTCCGAAACCAAAAATCACAGAAACTTGAAATTTTCAGTGGACATCAAGAAAGGATAGACGAGCAGCTATACGAAAAATCAGCCTTCTAGCTCTAAAAATGTTGAGTGCAGAGTAGAAAGACTGCCTGGGGGGGGGGGTGGCAACCACCCCCCCCATGTGCGGGCGAGGGTTAATTTTTAGGGGTCAAAAACGCACTTTTTGGGAAAAGAAAGACAGCCATTTTAAAGAACTCATTGAGCTCTGTGCCTTTTCATGTCTTTAATTTGCTTAAACCCTTGATTTTTGGCGATTTTAAACATTTATCATTTTTTGACGAAAAAAGCCATGTCGTTACATCAATAAAATCGATATATCTCAAAAAGTTTTTGAAAACATTTGACAAATGCCGTCATATTGATGAAGGAGAAGCTATACAAAGTTTCAAGTTGATAGCGTAAGCGGTTCCTGAGTTATTTGTGAAAAACGGAGGGGGGGGGGGTTCGGATCCGACCCCCCCCAGGCGGTCGCGGGTTAATGCAGTGAGCACGTGCAAGGACCGCCGGTTAGACGGATGACCCGCACAGGTCACGTAGGGGTCTTACCTTCACTCACTTTGCAGCTTAGACTACAGACTGTTGTAATATCACTGCATTGTGTGTAATCGGCAGTGTTGCCGCAAATCTGGTAACGTGGTCTGGCAACAGGTGTCAGTTCGAGCGACCCGACCTCACCACGTAAAGAGCGGCAGCAGTGGGCTGTCTGAGGGGAATGGGAATGGGACAGGTGCATCCGTTCGGCGGCAGTCACCAGAACCACGGCAGCTTCACTGACTGACCTCGGTATTCAGCCTTGATTCAGCCGACATCGGTGCTCTTGTCCTCAGCCTGCACTACACCGTATGTATTAGGAATCCGTACGTGTAGGACATAATGTGCGCATTACAGGGAATGGCTGAAAATGGCCTGATGTACCCTTGGATGTGCCGACGTATCAAAATCCCCGCTGTACTTCTGACGTCCCCTCTAAAACTGACCCATGCCGCAGCCGCGGCCGACCCGCCGTACAAGGTGGTCTGCTACTTCGAGAGCTGGGCGGTCTACAGGCCCGGACTGGGCAGTCATGACGTGGAGGACATCGACTTTGACCTGTGCACCCACCACATCTACACGTTTGCCGGACTCAACACCAACCACAAGATCCACTCGCTGGACCCCTACCACGACCTCTACAACAACTACGGAGAGGGTGAGCCGACTAACGAGCCAACGATTGCGAGGGCTTGAGGAGTTAGCCGAACCGAACAATGATTTGCTATAATGATTTGCTTATAGTTGTCTAATTGCCGTTTTGTATCCCATAGCGAAGAGACATTTTGCGTCGAGTGAAGGTTGAAACGTATATGCATTGCCACATTATAATTTATAGTTATGTACTTGGTACAGTGGCACATGTATGCATATTGCATAATGCATACGAGTATTTCATGTGTTTTTAAACACAAAATCGCCTGGCTGTTACAGGTGCTTACCTTCGCTTCACGGGCATGAAGGAGACTCACCCTCAGATTAAGACCATGATTTCAATCGGCGGCTGGAACGAGGGATCCAAAAAGTACTCACAAGTAAGTACCCAAGTCCCAACTAAACACCGGCTACTTGCTTATTTAATATTTTGCATCACATTTTCAACAAATTCTGTATCCGAAAGCCTAAGTAGATTAGAAATCTATAATACATATAGTAATTTTACCATGGACTTAAACAGCTCCTAGATTGACTTCAGTTTTAATATTTCTCTGATTCATTTCAGATGGCATCGTCGGCCGAGTACCGGGCGACCTTTGTCCAGAGTGTGGTCGACTTTCTGGCCAAGTACAAATTCGACGGACTGGACCTGGACTGGGAATACCCCACGCTGCGTGGTGGCGCGCCAGAGGACAAGGTAAGCCCTAGGTATACTCAGTTAGCCAGTAGGTAGTCAGTACCCCATCCCATGCGGGCCGGCGCCTGCAGGGGGCTGAGGTCGAGGACAGGTCTCAACTCCACAGGCTGGAGCCACAGGACAAGAATAGTAACCCAATTTGTGATGTTGCGCCTCACAGGAACCCAACATCATTTTTGGCGCTAGATAGGATAGGTACTGGGGCGATTTCTAGCCAATTTCTGACATTCGAAAGTGTAAAGAAGTCGGATATTCATGGCTGTAATTTATGAATAGGCAATTCGATGACTATTTGCTTATGTGTTTAAGTTAAAGTGAAGACGCCGGCCGATGTCGTCATGTTCGTTCCGTCTTCCTCAGGAGAACTTCGTCCTGCTGCTGAAGGATCTGAGCGAGGCCCTGCGACCGAGAGGGCTGCTGCTCTCCGCTGCCCTCTCGCCGGGTAGACAGAATATCGAGCCGGCCTACGACCTCGACGAAATGGTCAAGTCAGTAGTCTGGCTGGTCACGCACGTAGAGGATATAGGCATGAGGGAGGTTGGTATGTCAGTCAATTCAGTCAGTCAATTCAGCTGATATGTCAGAGGGCGCAGTTGATGTGATGTATGTGAATATATAGATTACCATGAGGGAGGCCGCCTTTCACGACGCTCATTATGTGAATGGCCAAAAGAAGCATTTTTATATGTTTTAGGAACATATTAGAGGCAAGATGCTTAGTAAAGAGCAGTGTCATTGCTTGCTATCTTCGTTTGTGAAAGCACAGTTTGATGCCATTTAACCCGGCCGGGCCCGGGGGTAATCCCAACCACCCCAGCCCGGGGGGGGGGCGTTTTTCGCACTCCCCCTGTCTAACTCCGTAAATAAGTGAACTACAGAAACAAAAGCGATACCAAGCGAAAGGTCATTACAAGACAATTCTAAAGCACCTACATTTTTGACCTCAGGTCAATTTTCAAGGTCAGAGGTTAACGCCAAAGGCAAAAATCGGCACATGTGTAGCGATCTCAAAGTAAGCGTTCTAGAGGACGGCAGGATGCATAAAACCGGCAAAATTGGGTGTCAAACAAAAGAAGAGAACCTGAGGATTCCGGAAATGTGATCAGAAGCAAAGGTCAAGGTCAAGGTAATGCTCAAAATTGACCTAAAATTTTGTACTTTTTCGTACATCTTGCGTGCTAACTTCCAAGATGTTTTTGAAATGTTTTGAGGCTTATCAGGTCCTATTTGTGGTTCATCTTACGATACAAGGCTGCTTAAAGGTCAAGGTCACAGAAGAGTATCCTTGCTAGAGGCTATTTCATTGATTAAGTTAGTAATAATAAATAAGACAATTTTGCCATCCGGAAGCTCTAAATGAAGGCTTAGAGGAAAATAGATGCCAGATTCGTGATCAGCGGGTACGAATCCATCTTAAACGACCTTTCATGTGTCAAGGTCAATCAAAGGTCATTCGAGGTCACATGAGGTCAACATAAAACTTGACCCTTTCCTAACAAAATATATATCATTCGACGCGGCTTGACAAGGTGAATGCGATGGTACCACTGCCGTAGCTCTAGGACCATTGTTGTCGAAGTTATTTGCGAAAAACTAAAACCACAGCTGGGGGTCGTTGACCTAACCTCTGACTTCAGGTGACCAAAACTTTTTTCTATTTTTCTCTAGTTCAAACGCTACACAAGCGTGCTCGTAATTTGTCTTTATCTCTAAAACTCTATTTTTAGCAGCTATGTGAAGTTGGCGTCTGTGACGCCAAAGTTTGCCGTGCAGAGGTCTAGAAAAATCGACCCTGTGACGACATCAATGGGGCTAGGTCCAAATTTTTTACTTCAGAAGATGTAAAATTGATGGGAGAATAGGTACCTACTAAAAGTTTCGCTTTCCTATCCCCAAGCGTTCGGGAGCTATCGCAGATATTCGCCAAGGGGGGGGGGGCGAAAAACGCCGCCTCACCCCGGGCCCGCGAGGGCTAATCTGCAATTCATTATAAATCAGCCAAAACATAACTGAACTGCATATCTATTCCTTTCCGACTGAAGAGTTTTTGGGTAGGTTTTGTCAGGTTTTGTCATTCAAACGATGTCACGTAATACGCGTCCTCGAGAAGCCGGCACTCCCACGGACCGACCTCACAGGTACCTGGACTTCATGAACGTGATGAACTACGACTACCACGGCGACTGGGACCCGTTCATCGGCCACAACGCGCCCATGTTCCTCACGCAGAAGGACGTGGAGCACGGCGAGCCGTTCCAATGGTTCAGTCTGGTATATTCATCGTTCATTGTTCATTGTTTATTACCCACTGGTAGTGTGGCGTCTTCAGTGATTGCTTGACGCTGGATCTCTCAAATATAAGCAATGTGAACATGTCGGTCACATTATGCACTATTGCACAATGCCCAATGTAATGCACAAGGCACAAGTCACGTAGGCAATCGATCCCCTAACAGTAAAGTAAACACTACGGTAAACAGTAAAACAACTACAAAAATCAGTGCTTCGCCATTAAATTGATCGTTTACTTACATCCGTCTCATGAAAGGAATAAAAAAGGTATGGTTTGAAGAACTTCAATTGGCAGTAATTAACTGATGAAAACGTCATTGAAACATGTCCATTGTCCACAAAACTAGTCTGAAGCTGATTTGTAAGCCTCCGTAACGCAGCTTTTCGACGCCTTCAGAACTATACGATGAACTACTACCTGGGACGAGGCGTGCCCGGCTCTCAGTTGATGATGGGATTCCCCCTGTACGGCCGCGGGTTCAAGCTGCAGGACCCGTCCAAGCACGCGCCGTACGACCCGTCCAACGGCCCCATGGACGGGTGTCCGTACAGTGAGGAGCCCGGATTCTGCGGCTACAATGAGGTCAGTGTGGCCGGCGGTTGGGATCCGTAACATCGGAATCAATAACGGCATGGACTCAGACTCAGTTACACATTTTCATCGCAGTGTCAGGTAAGCAGCGAGCGGTACAGACCGTTATTGTGCCTGAATGGCAACTACATATTTGGGATCTTGAACTTGTGCCATATCTTAGCGCCTTCCTGCACAGCTTTACATTTCGTAACTCTTGCTGAAAGTAATGGCCGCATTAAGCCAGCGCGTTCTCCGTCATATGCGCGGGAACCGGGGGGCATTGGGGGCATGGCTCCCCCCCCCCAACTCTGGGGCCGTGGGGGCGGTGCCCCGACAACTTTGAGACGAAATACCGCCCTTTTTATGCAAATGTTTTCTTTTTTGTTGAAAAAGCCAAGAGATGGAAAATAAGTGGCCTAAAACCGGTAAGAAAACTACCTATATTTGGGGGTACCCTAGGTTGATCTCTATACGTTGTGACCCCCCCCCCCCCAGGTCTGAAAGTACTTCCCGCCAGATATGTGCATGGATCCGAGAAAATGGATCTGGGATCTGATCCCACGGATCCTGATCTCGGATCCGACTGGATCATAGATCCAGCTCTGTAATTTATCGAGAGATCCGTAGGGAGCACAGATCCGAGTCTCATTTTTTGCTTGAGATCCAGTGGGATCATAGATCCTCACTTATTTTTTGTCAACACATATATCCCAAAAAAAGCACTTGTTTCAACTCAAAAACGTTCTGTTTTAGTGATTTTATGTGATAGCACGTCATAATCCACAGTTTTGTGTCACTTATTGGCATAGAAGCCCTTTAAAACATGGTTTCAAATGTGGTGCATGGTGGGATCCACTCAGATCATAGATCCATGTTCTTAAATAATCGTCAGATCATATAAGATCATAGATCCAAGATGTATTTTTCACGCCGGATCCGGTGGGATCATAGATCCCAACCTGTACTTTGCTTCGAGATCCACTGAGATCATAGATCCATCACTCGGATCCATGCACATGTCTGCTTCCCGCGCCCCTGTATCTCCGTTCAGTACTCGAAGTCTTCTATCTTTACTGCTATGTTGCACTTAAAAAAAGAACTTAAGCAGCGTAAGAGCAGACAATATTAGAGCTGTTCGAATGCACCATTCTCCATCACCTATGTTTGTGCATAGGTTCTTACAGAAACTCATGGTTGGCTTAATTTCAGATAGATTTTTTGCAGTGATGGTGTGACGACGGTTAATTGCAAATGCCACTGACCAAATAACATTATATGTATGTCCGTGCGACTTTTGTATTTGAATTGGTTTGAATGGAAGTCGACCAGAGATGAACGAAATACAGGGATGTTCACGAAAAACTGACACATTTTAAAACGACTTTGTGAGCATGTGAGAGCTCACGGAGACTTGATTTGCATGCCATTCGAAAGCCTGTTGAAAAAAGTTTTGTATGTGCATAGCGCCTTTAGGTAGCATCACACGAGTTTTCAAATAAATAAGAAAGCGTTAAAATGGGGAAATTTGACTTGGCGACAAAACTTATCGGAAAAGCAATGAAGCTCTCGCGGCTACCATCTGCCACCACGACTGAACCAGTCCACGAATTCGTCTAAAATTTGGCATATTAATGTTTCGATGGATTTTGTTTTATACTTTTGGCATATTGTGGGCAAATTCCTAAGGAATGCCAAAATTGGCAGGCTTGGAAGTGCTGATGCCAGAAACCATGGCCGCATGCTGGCAGTCACTGTAGAGTGGTACCGTGCCATCTTTTAACGGCTTCTGTTAGCTACTGTAGCGGAAATGGGTCGACGTCTACACCATTTGGTGGTTCTGGCACGTCAGGGCCACCACACGTACAGTAACCGCGATCATCGGTCTCACACGAGAACAGGGGGAGGGGGCATTGTCTCGCGCATCACCTCTCACCCATAGCCGGCCATTTCGCTCTACCTCAACACCGTGGACTATTCCTGTGGGGTCACGTGAGTGACATGGTCTGTAGCAGCGGCCCAAAGGACATCAAAACTCCCGACGAGTGCAGTGAGAGGTGTTGCAATTCTTCAGGCACGTGCCCAAAAACGGGGGATAATTTCCTGTTTCGGGCTGAGTCGTGCACTGCTCCAAAAACTCGTCATCTGCAAAATACGCTGTAACTTCTTAGAAACGAAAATGACATATTCCCAAAATATGTCAATAAAAACTTAGAAGTCCACTCTATTTGCACATAGCATGATCACTGTGCTGAGGGCAAGTGTTTTCTCGTAATTCGGAAATAAAATGTGTCAGTTTTTCGTGAACATCCCTGTATCAATCGAATATTTGGGTAATTTTGAAAACATCCACAGTTTCCTTCCCATTTCCCAATTTGACTGTTGACAGCTCTGTGAGCGGATCTTCAGCCAGAGCGGGTGGACGGACGTACACGATGGTGACATGCAGGCAATTTACAGCTACAAGGGCAGCAACTGGATCGGCTGGGACGACCTCAACATCGTCAAACTGAAGGTAGGCTTTGAGTCCACTCATACCATAGAGAGGAAAAAATAATATAGCAAAGCTCAATCTGTTTCACTGCTTTAAATTCGTTTTTTTTTTGTCGCAACTTCCTTCTCTAATTTACTCGTATTTCACACATCACATGTACATTTTGCCAGTTGGACTACCTGAAGAGTATCGGAGTGGGCGGCGCCATGTTGTGGTCGATTGACACGGACGACTTCCGCGGTTTGTGCGGACCAAAGTACGCCATCGCCAACCTGATCTGGAGCGAGCTGAACGGAGCCGCCGACTCTGAGGGCCGGGAGTAGGGTCACATCCTGGAGGAGCAGCGAGTAGTGACCCTCCCTGCTGCCGTGAGGTGTCCAGCAGTGGGGTGTGGTGTGCCATAAAACGTTAGACCGGGATCTGTGTTACGTTAGGGATCTTTACAGTGCAGTGTTCAACGGGGTGCTATTTTTGCGATTACAATACATATGAAATGTGCATGAGCATTGAACATTCCTTTGCCGCTCTTCATGTGATTCAGCACGTTTTAGCTCACTTCTGTCGCTATGCACAGCTGACGTTGAGGTTTGAAAATGATACTGTAATCAAATTTGGAAGGCAACACAGGTTTATGCGTCGAAACGATTCGCGGATGAGCGGTGATCCGTCGCTACGTCCTCCAGTCACCTCCTAGCCCCGATCCTGTGTCGGCTGCCGGCGGCTCTGCCGACCCGGATCTCAGCTACTGCCGCTCCCGGACGCCACAGTCAACAGGGGAGAAAAACACACCCCGGACACAGCGCCTCGACACGGGCCGGCGCACACAAACACAACACCGGCAGGAATCGTGGAGACCGCCGCCAGGCAGGTGTGTTCGGGTGATCGCCGCGGTAAACTTTCACCGAGGAAAGTTCAAAACAAACTTGAAATGGATCAGTGCGTATAACTCCAAAACGAGCTTGAAATAGATCAGTATTGCGCAACCTACAATGCGACGCACAGCGGAGTTCCGCCAGGCACGAAAAAACTCACACGCGGCATTGTGCGATCACAAACGGTAATGATAGATAGCGCATTCACTCTCAACTCAGTGACCCTACCCGACAGGCGTACGTACCTATAATTTCAATCGAATGGAATAGTTCCAAGCCTGAAAGCCAATGTCGCAAAACGACCTGCGAATCTCTCAGGGGTTTGATATATCAATGCCATGAGTCCTTGTGGTGAGAACTGAGAATGACGTTTTTATCAATATCCTCGCTTTCTTCTATGTCTGGTTCTTCTGGTTGCGTACTTTCGTATCTTAGAACAATGCCATGCCTCTTCAGCGACTAACTACAAGAAGCCCTTGAAACGTGGAATTCAAGAGCAATGGCTAGATGCAACAGGATGCCCAAAATAAATCATGGCTGGTGCCCATGCAAGCAAAATAAGACGCACTAATCAACGCATACCTAGGTACTTGTCGCACATTGACCTCAGAATGTGATCCTGGTTTTTTAGCTGCCCACTCAGCCCAGCTATACTTTGCGCTGACGAATGGTAATGTCAACAAGCGTCGGAAATCCCGCCGATCCTACCTTCCAGATGATGGGGGATGACTCACCCGTGTTTCGGCGTATCCGCCTTCGGTGTGTCCTCACCGACCCGCCCAGTTCCGGCGCTCTCCCTCCCTCCCTCCCTCCCCTCTGTGCGCCGTGGCGCGTCGACCAGCGGCGGCGGCGCGGCGGCGGCGCTCAGAAGCCGACATGGACTCGTGCCGGGCGCTGCGCGTGCTCTCGCTGCTGGTGTTGGTGGCCGCCGCTGCCGGTCAGGTGCCCTTCCTCGGCAGCTGTCCGCGACCGCCCATAGTCGGCAACTTCGAGCCGCAGTTCTACCTGGGCCGCTGGTACGAGTACTCCAAGTACTTCACCGTCTTCGAGGTGGGCCGCAAGTGCATCCAGGCAGTGTACTCGGACGCCGGCTACGGCCGGATCGGCGTCACCAACCGCAGCATCAAGGTGCTCGGCGGCACTCGCAGCGACATCCGCGGCGTGGCCAAGCCGGTCGGCCGGCCCGGCCAGGCCAAACTGCGCGTCAACTTCGAGGGCGTGCCCAGCTTCGGCAGCGACGCCAACTACATCGTACTGGACACGGACTACACGCAGTACGCCATCGTCTGGTCGTGCTCCAGCCTGAAGCTGTTCAACACGCAGCTTCTGTTTGTGCTGACCCGCGAGCAGTTTCCCAGCCCGTACCTGGTCAAACACATCATGAAGCGGATCCGTCACTTCGGCCTGGACACGGGAAAACTACAGAAGACCGACCAGAAAAACTGTCCGTACGGCCACTGAGGGCAGAGTACAAACTAGGACGTACAGACAGACTGGCTGCTCGGTTACTGATGAAACGTCTCCTGAACTCAGACTGTTTGCGCGCGGCCAGTTGGAGATTTATGTAGAAGGAAGATGAACTGCTGTGTGTTGGTTCACTGTTCGCTGTGGGAAAGATAAAAGCTTTGGATTTTGAGGAACTCAGGACTGCAACTGGATGTCTCATCCGGAACAATTACAAACTGAAGAAAATGAGTGTCAGCCGCGTTAAAATGGATATTTAATTAATGTATCAAGTGGATGAGTGCCGCTCAATCAGTGTTAGCTAGCAAAATCACTGCGTTTTAGGTGAGCTGTGTGTGACTTTCGTCGATGACATATTGTGCATGAGATCATATGATAGCTGCCTACGTGACATCGTGACATATCAATGACTACTGAAACGGTGGCATTCAACATGCTTAGCTAGCATTAATCAACAATTTGTGCGCTTGCATAAGGTCTAAGTTCGTCTTCCATAGCTCTATTTATTTCACATCTAAGTTATTTTGAAGCTACTTAGCAGACGAACCGTTGATCTGTTATCGATTGTTGGTATATCTCTCGTCTTTGGCTGTTTTCCACGCAATGTGAAGTAACATGCGGAGATGCATCTTGCAACATATCAGACTCAGCATCTTACATATATGGAAGGCGTCGTCTGTTTGATGTTTTCGATTATATGATATGTGCTGCTTATATGTACAAATGCATAAACTTCAAAAGGTAGCCGAATGCCGATGTTTTTACTTATGCAATCTTGAAATGTTCAACAGTATGTTAACCCGCGCACCGACGGGGGTCTGCGCCAACTTCGCACCGACGGGGGGGGGGGGGCGGATGACCGCCCCCCTGAGATCTCGAGAACGAAGCAAGATAGCGACAAGCGGTAAACGGCATCGGATACGCACGGCCAAGATCTACAATTTTTACAAAGGTCATTTTCAGGTCAGGTCAAAGATGACGTCACAGGGGTCGAAAAAGTCAAAATGGCGGCGCTAGATATGGAGAGTTTTTCTCGAATAACTTTCGAATTAGTCAAGATAGGAACAAACTAAGGGCATCATCGTGATTCTCTTGTCAATCCGCATCGAATGATATATATGTTGACCTCGAAAGGTCAAGGTCAAAGGTTGACCTCAGGTCACGTGACCTCGAGGTCATCATGTATATCATTCGATGCGTCTTGACGAGCTAAACACAATGAGACCATCCACGCGTCTGTATCTTGTTCCTGTACGGAGTTATTGGCCAAAAACCTTTGGTGACCTTTGATGACGTCACATGACCTCACAGCTGCCCAACAGCAAAACAGACCTCAAGGTAGTGAAGGTTGATCGTATATGAAGTCATGTATGGTATATGGGGCCATTCCGACCCATTTTAGTGGTAAAAACAGGGAGTTGATTTTTCCCCCATTGACTTATAATGGGGAGGTCGCGAAATTGACCTGACCTTAGGTCACCGATATCAAAATTCCGAGATATACAAATTGTAGCTACTAATGACCTAATAATATCCTGCGACTTTCAAAGGCCTCCGACATCTACTGTAGCTCTGGCACGGTGACAAAGTTGCAAAAAAGTGACTTGAGGTTGGGTCATTCAAAGTGACCTGATGACCTGACCTTAAAAGGTAGGAGGTTCAAACTTGCACACCATGTGTAAAATTGATGAGGTTATAGTCATACCAAATTTCGCGGCGCTACGCGCCGCGGTTTTCCCGCTATTCGCGAAAAACCTCAGGGGGCGGATATCCGCCCCCCCGTCGGTGCGCGGGATAGGATTGTTATCAGAAGGATTGTTGTAAGATTGAAGGAGCTTGTAAGGATTGTTATCAGAAATAATCTAGCACGGCTATCAACAATATAAATCCTATGTTGAATAGAGCTTTAAAACAAAGCAAAGTATTTTAGTTTCATAAATTTGTGGTTGTACAGGCTACGGCAACAGCATGCCGAAACATTCTTTCAAAATGAACGCACCATGACACTATCCCGTCACTATCCAGAGTCGATTATACGTAAACTTGTTATTCAATGCTAGGTCGTATATGATGTGTCAGATGTGTGAATGTTAAACAATCTATACAATAAAAAACTTGCATTTGCTCATTATTGTCGTCGTTGAGAGGACAAATCATTGTGAGCATTAAATTTCACAGATGCGTCTCGAGCATAGGTATGAGCACGGCATTATTATTTATCCCTACACGGCTGAGGGGAGGGGTTCGGTAATCGGTATCATTTCACTAACGGTTTCCACAAACTGCAGTTAAAGGACATAGAGCTGACATTGGACATACCTGACCTTTTATTCAAGCCAGAACTTTCGGTATCCGCCGCATTTTCAGATGCATGTACAACAAACGGCATGTGGGAATGCATTTTATCTATTTATAAATGCTCATTTACATCCTTGTATTCTTGTATTCTTGTATTCATTTTATCACCGACGGGTTATGCACCCATTTACAGGTGAAGTCAAATAATACATTTCCCACACTCACAAACACTTCAGGCACATCGAACACTTGGACTTGCATCTCAGCCGTCCCTCGATACATAGGCAGCCACTCGACTTCTGAATTCGCCGGCGCTGCTCCTCCATATATCCACATCGCGGTTTGCATCCAGGAAAGTTGCTGGGAGGGCGATTAAAGATGGACGTTTTCACAACATTGACACGCAGTCGCGCCAGGGAACTCGCGGACATACTCTGATGCCTAAGCAGACGAACAGGTACTGAGAGAGGGAACACATCGAGAAGGAACGATGAACGTATCATCTGGCGATGTATGTCCCTGATGAAGAGAATATCAAAACGCTGGATCCTAGCTGTCACGGTGTCCACTCCGAAGTGCTTAACTAAGTCTCGGTACCCTAAAGAAACTCCAGTCACCCGACAGCGAGCACAGAGCCAGACAAGAAACTTTTCCTGCACACGTTCAATTCTCTGGATGTGTGACACCGCTGCTCCTCCCCACACCACACTGCCATACTCAAGGATGGAGCGAACGTTTGCAAAGTAGGTACGTCGATAACAGAGCGCGCTGGTTCCCGGTTTTGAATGGCTTGCCTTTCTTCCCTGTCTGGAGCGTACGCATTAGTAGCCCAGTTAAGAACAAATAGGTAGTTCCATTTTCGCTGATCATTCTGAATAGTTATGGTACTAAATAATTTCTGATAATTGCTCTTCCAAACATAAAACTTGTTGACGAATATCATAAGACAAGAAGGTAGGTATTACCGATAATTGCATGCTCAGGTCACAGGTGTTCTCTATTCATATGAATTTCCGTTAAACTTTGAATTATTCCGCTACCAAGTACCAGCACAATGCTACCTGACCCACTTTATTACCCAAGTACGAATGTCCTGAATACTGATACTCTAGTGCAGGTGTAAGGTAACAGCACCCTGCGTGCGACAGCCCGCTTTCACCGGGGAAGGGCGGCTGGTCTGGTCTGTTGGTCACCACCCGCTACCCAATGTGTGGACCCCATCTCAGTGCACTGCGTCGACACACGGGGCCGTGCCGAGTTCGTGCGACCCCAGCCCGGCGGATGTTTGATCAGGGCCGGCCGATAGCCCGAACCGACGAGACTAGGTGTGACACAACACGGAAACGGTCCCCGGTCCCGGTTCAGAGGAAAGGGAGCGAGAAAAAACGGGCGATAAGAAGGAATGTCACAAATGAGAACATCGGAACATGTGATCCACAAATTAGTGAAAGTTTGAAAATGTTTAATGATTTCGTAGAACCCAATTATTACCCACTATCCATCCGTATTTATGTATCCAGTATTCACACATCAAAGTAACATGCACGGGTTAAACGACTAGCACGGATAAAGTAAACCATTCAGGAGGTATATACCACTGTCACATGGACGACGGCGTTCCGGGCTCAGTCATAGCTATGCCACCAGGACTTATATAACACGACCCCGCTCAGCTCAGAAAACGTCGCGTCACACATTCCAGCCGGCCCACCGGGTAGGGTCGACAAAGGCAGCCGGGGTGGACTCTCCGTTGCAAAGTAGCAAGTGCTAACAAGATGCGTGAATAGACCTTGGGTGGATCTAACGTTACTGTCTAGTGTCTATGCATATAACTATGAATGCATTATCGCTTCTGCATGCTGGTCACCGCTTCCAATGGTCTATCCATTGTGACGACATGGTGGCCACACAACACTTTCAGTCATCGGTGCAGCATGACTGCCCACGCACAGTAAACAGATGCGGGACGGTGATTGTGCGGAGGCTGTGACGAAAGCTCAGCCACGTGAGATCTGTCCGTGGTCCGTAGCTTCCCTCTTTTTCTCGTCTCGAGTTTCTCGTTACGTTTTTACTGCTGATGGTTGGGGAAAGATGGCTGAGAAAGCTTCTGTTGCACCATCGGACCCATTCTTTCCAGCCATGCAGCTTGGTTTGTTAACCCTCGCCGGCACAAGGGCACAAGGTGATGCAACTCCCTAAGTTTTTCGCAAATAACTCACGTAAAAAGTGGCCGATCGCGACGAAACTTTCAGTATCCTCGCGTTGATCAATTTTACACTTAGGTACCCTAAAAATTTCATGACTCCGACCCAAATGACCTTTGGCCTGTGACCCTATTTTTTTTAGACCATGTTTGGCCGGAATCACGATTAGGCGTATTTCGGCTCGCAAGTCGCATTAGCCGCGCGTTTACACTTTACAGTCTTTTCGTGGTTTCAAGCGTTCAAATGTGATTTGATGTTGCAGCTCCCATGCATAAGGGTGGATTTCAAGGTCACCTGAAAATCAGGTCAGGTCAGTGACTTTTAATGGCCTCGGTTCACTTTTTTGAGTTTTACATGTTTCTTGGCTAGTTTTTTTTTAGTTGAATTCCAATTTAGCAGCCATTTGAACATTTACGAAGTAGTTTTGGTGTCTTCGTAACATGTTACGAAGCTGTCAAGTGTTAGAGGCGGTTGACACACACTACGAATACCCGGCAGGACCCCTACTGGTTGACCTGATCTGACCCGACCTGGCCTGACATTCTAACAGGTCCCCATTTTCCCGACTTTTGGGTCATTGACCTGACCTGGAAGGTCAACCGATGACCTAGGAGCTTAAAATTGGGTATCACCTGCTTCCTCTCGTCACGGGCAACACGATCGTGTTTTTCCGAGAAGCTCTAACTCGATCAGGGGCCAAACGCGAGGGGAGTCGCACCCCCCCCCCTCCCTTGTGCCGTCGAAGGACGCAAAATGGCCTGTGCCAGCGAGGGTTAAACTCTAGTCACAAAATAGACGAAACACTGGACAGGAGTGTAGAGGCGCACGCTATAGTGATATAAAGGTGCCGGGTCAGCCGTTTACCCGCGCCGGGCCGGGCCTGAGAGGTGTTTGGACACCACGTTGAGCTTTTCCGAACTATCTAAAAAAACAACGGCACGAAGTGCCACCGATTTTGGCGCAGCTGTTCATGCGTCTTTTCTGCGTCTGTTTGGAAAATTTCAGACCAAGGTTGCCCAAAGTCAGGTCGCCAGGTAACGTCAAGTGACCTAACCTTAGACAAAGTTAGAATGCTCGCCATAGCTACACCGACTGAACGATCACATGTGAACTTTCATTATAATTGATGAGGGCATCAGTAGGTATTTATAAGAAAACATCATGCTGGAATTTTTGTTATTCGTGACCTAAGATCAAGCTATTTTTGCGTCATCTCCGACCATTACCTAAAGGTAAGTCAATGGAAATA